TCTATCTATCTATCTATCTATCTATCTATCTATCTATCTATCTATCTATCTATCTCTCTCTCTCGCTCTCTCGCTCTCTCTCTCTCTCTCTCTCTCTCTCTCGTGCACGCGTGCACGCGAGACAGGAGCTCAGTCACTGTCATACTGGACAACAGATTGTAAGACCCCTGTTTGAATATGATTTTTATTTGTGCTATACTTCAATGACCCCACCGCAAAGACAGCGCAGGGCTGAAATAGCATTGATGACGAAAGGGGAGATTCTGAAAAATGGTACATTTTTATCTGTATCTCTACATTATTAGCCTTGTATTCAATGTAAGAGATGATGAATTCTTATCTGCATATTTTTTACGCTTATATTTACTTCATACCTTTCTTCCTGCACAGGTGTGGTTTCAGAACCGTCGAGCGAAGTTCAGGAGAAACGAGAGGAACCTGATGGCCCAGCGCCAAACCATATATGGACGAGGGGGCGTGGAAGGCACGCCCATCGAGCAGCCAATCACACCTCGAGCCACGCCCATGTCGAACGAGTACCTCCCCTGGGCAGGGGCAGCTGCGGCAGCGTACAACACGCCCCCTCCCTCCACGTCAGCGGCGGGTTCGAGCTGTGCTCTAGCTAGTCCGCACTCTTTTCCCTCTTCGGCGGCAGTCGGTTCCAGTTTGGCGTGCCTACGTCTGAAAGCGCATGAATACAACTCCAGCCTGCAGCACTCGCCCTATATACATCAGCAGATGCCGCAATGACTCCAGAGGGAGTGATGTCTGTGCTTTCCTCTGACGCTTCGTGCCGTTTCAATTTTCTCGTTCCTCGTGCCTTAACGCTTCCATACTGCCTTCAAAGACCAGAAAAGCAATAGTTGTTCTATTTTCCTTACTTGCACCCATTGCTTGAAGCGTAAAACCAAAGGTTTACGCGCCATAAATCAAATAATTTTATTATTATCCTTGTAGTCGCCAGCTATATTATATTATTGTATGCCTTAAGAATAATGCTGAGCTGAAAGTAAATTATACTTTATGCTTGAACTAGCTATCTGTGTGTTCTGATGTCCATGGGGCAAGTATCCTTTCTTTGCTCACGAGAGACGTGAGGTCAAATCCCGCACTGGAAAGATACGTAATTGGGTATTTCCGTATTTTCGCAAGGATGCACTCCATGCAACCTGTGTTGACCACGACAGACTGGGGCGATACAGCCAATCCTCGGAACGATTTCTTTTTCTGTTGACTAGACATGAAACCCCCACAACACGAACTGTCTGTGTGAGTGTGTGCTCGTGGGTAAGGCAATTTTTTAAAATACAAAGACACTTCGTATCGGTGCCTGCGACTTCTGTTCGAATCTTCATGGACACATTTTACAAGGAGGCGTTTTCTGGAGTCTCTCGACGACATCCCTAGCTGTCAGAGCGGAGGTGGATGTTGAAATATGGCTGTTTTTTCTCCATAAGAAACTTTATTGTGTTGAAAAGAGGGCGTAAGGATCAGACTTAATATACCAGGAATGTCTGCAATCTTAGCCTGCTTGCTCACCGGTAACCTGCGCCTGTGGTGTAGGGGTCAAACCCTTTACTTTGCAGGCAAAAGAGATGTCTATCCCCATGTAGGGAAAATAGTTCAAGTGTTTTCTATTAAGTAATTTCGAAGCACCCAGCCTTCAGAATGGTGTGCGCTGTGTTGCTGAGCATTACAAAGAATTACAACACAGTGACCCACAAAGTGACATGAAAATTCTTAACATCCGCACAGCAAAGAAGACGGTTCAGGTTGAAACATATGGCACACTTCAGATGCCACTTCGTAAATCGTCTCTTCGCGGGAGATCAGACATGATTTTCTTACTGGTTGAAAAGTACAAGATACAAACATCTTGACCACCCGTATACGGGTACCGGGTAGACGACCACGCTCGGACATCGGTAAAGTCTTCTTATCAAATAGTTGGACTACACAGCAGGTGATGTGGGTTCAAATGGATCCAAACCCCTTCCCATATCTGGATTGTTTAATAACAATTGTAACTGCTCTTAAGCTGGTCTCAAACGTTTGGGACCGATGTCTGTTGAGTAATCGTGCGTTCACACCAAACACTCGGACGAGCGACAGTCTTTTGCCAGGAGGAAGAAAATCGGTCGGTTCGTGTCGGTCTTGTGTGTCCACCTGTTGGGACAAGACACGTCTAGTCTGTTGGCCTACTGGCCGTCTTATTCCACACACTGTGTCCCAAGGCTGTGTCCTCGGTACAGGGCTATAAATAGCCGAGATCAATTAACCCAAGGCGGGAATAAGAAATGAATGTGTTTTTAAAGGAGAATTTCTTAAAATTGTTAATATTATGCTTTTCAACCAGGTGGTTTGCGTGTAGACTTTGCTGATTTTGAGGCACTGATTACGAATGTGACATTAAAATTAGGAAAAAATTAGCCCTGGCAGAGCCCATGGCTCACCAGTCACGACCCGGCCCTACTAAAATGCAGCAAGCAGCTTTCCAACCGACTCGTCTTTTGTCGGGGCGTGTCGTGTCTGTTGACACAGCCAAACAGACTTATCACTGATTTCTTAAGAGATAATCGGTGCTCCATTTCAACTACCGACTTTCCAAGAGACGGATGGACGGAATCGGGTCGATTGGTGTCCGTTGCAATGAACACGGGCCTTGACCTTTTCACAACTAACTGCGCTGACCAGAATAGATCTAACACTCAGCAGTTGTCGTTGCTTTGGTCTGAACGCAAACAAAGGATAAGAGATTTTTTTGGGGCTACATTTGGTCGGTTAGCCGTTGTCGTTAGAATGTTTGTCGCTCGTCCGAATGTTTGGTGTGAATGCACAACAAGGGTTCGGTTCTTCGTTTCGTATGTTACAGTTGTGTGTACTCTCGTTCCAAGCAAAGAATAAAGTGTGAGCGTATGTCCCCGACCTTTCTGCTAGGACGAGGTATCCTGCATCGTTTGGATTCGCCCAGACAGACAGCTAGTATCAAAGGATCCGAGCCTGCTTCAGGAAACGAGATGAGCTTGACAGCCCAGCGCCAGACCATAATGGACGAGGGGGCGTGGAAGGTTTCCCCGTTCCCCAGCGAGTAGCCTATCACGCTCAAACCACGCCCATGTCGAATGATGGAGGAATAACCATTAACGTTCATTCTCCATTGGTCAAAAAACCGTTAGGACATTAGATGTCACTGTCCGTTTTGTGGATACGTTCATATACGGTGTCATATCAACACACACACACACAC